GAGAAAAGTTGGGAATGAGGAATTTAAAGTAATTCTGAAACTTAAGAGCGAGGACGGTCAGGAGAAAATCAGCCCAATTGGGGTGTCAAAAGAAATTAAAAAGAAAATAGGAGATGTTGAAATGGTGAAGATTTTGAGAGACGGAAGCCTTTTGATAGAATGTAAGGATATAGAGCAAAAGAATAAAGCCTTCAATGTGGATAACATATGTAAAAGAGTGGTGCTGGAGAAAAAAATGTTGGGAGAAAATATAAAAACTAGAGGAGTGATATATGGGATCCCTCTAGATGAGGATCTAGAAAAACTTAAGAAAAATATAGTTGGAGCAAAGGTGACTAATATGAAAAGGCTGTCAAGAACTGTGGATGGGAAGAGAGTGGGGAGTCAGTCCATTCTAATGGAGTTTGAGGGAAAAGAGCTGCCAATGAGCATAAAAATAGGATATATAAGCTTCCAAGTCAGACCTTATGTACCTCCACCACTTCGGTGCTATAAATGCCAAAGGTACGGACACATTGCGGCAGTATGTAAAGGAAAGCAGAGATGTCCAAAATGTGGGGAAGATCATAAATTTGAAGAATGTAAGGAAGATGTAGAAGAGAAATGTTGTAACTGTGGGGGAAAGCATAGAGTCACGTTCGGAGGGTGTGAGGTCAGGAAGAGGGCTAAAGAGGTTGTGCAGATAAAAACTAAAAATATTAGCTATGCAGAAGCTGTTAAAAGTGTGAAGGAACAGGAAAAAAGAGGGGTCGAGCAAACGGGGAACCAAACAAAACAGCAAACTAAAGTAATACCAGAAGATAAAGTCATTTACTCACTGGAAAATCTAGTCCTTTTTATAGCATGTTATCAACTGTACTGTTCAAGCTAAGAACAAAACAGAGAAGATTAAAATAGTGAAAGGAGCCGAAAAATTCTTGGGATTCAAGGAAGGATCATGGGAAGAAATAAATAAAAAGTTAGAGGAGGATAAGAAGTCGGGAACAGCAGGTGAAAGTAGTTTATGCTAATACTTCAATGGAATGCTAGAAGCCTGATAGCTAATGGACAAGAATTTAAAGGTTATATTGAAGATCTTGAAAGCGAACCGGATGTAATATGTGTGCAGGAAACGTGGTTAAAAGCAAAATTAGATTTTGTGATTAGGGGTTATGTTAGTGTAAGAAGAGATCGTGAAGAAGGAGGGGGAGGAGGATGTGGAATATTTATAAAACAAGGGGTACAATATCAGGTTGTAGGAAAAGGGAAAGAGCTAGAATTCATAGTAATTGAGGTATGGGAGCAGGGACGTAAATTTAAAATAATAAATTTCTATAATCCATGTAAATCATTATCGGTTGAAATAATGGGGGAACTATTAGATTATTTGGAGGGGAGAGTAATCTGGTGTGGGGATTTCAATGCAAAAAGTACAATGTGGGGTAATAGTAATGATAAAAATGGGCAGATTATAGAAGAAGTAATTGAATTGAAAAATTTGGTATGTATCAATGGGAGAAGCGGAACAAGAATCAATGTTAAAACGGGGACGGAATCAACTATAGATATAACAATAGTATCGAATGATATTGCTGGTATCTGTGAGTGGTCAGTTGATAAAGAAAATACAGTAGGCAGTGATCATTATCCTATAACTATAAGGGTAGGAATATTAGGAAATAAATATAAAAATAGAGGGGAAAGATTGAACTTTAATAAGGCAGATTGGAGTAAGTTTAGGTATTTAAGTGAAATGTATTTAAATAAGGTAGATTTTAATATGAATATAAATGAAGTAAATGAGAGTATATCAAAGATAATAATGGAAGCTGCAGAAAATTCTATAAAAAAGTCAGGGAGTAATAATGATAAGAAAAAGGTGCCATGGTGGACTAGTGAGTGTAAAGATGCAATTAAATTAAGAAATAAAGCCTTGAAGGTATTAAAACGTAACCCAATTTATTTGAACTTAATTGAGTATAAAAGGAAGCAAGCACTAGTAAGGAGGATTATAAAGACAGCTAAGAGAGATTATTGGAGAAATTTTTGTAGTACAATAGGAAGAGATACAAAAATTGAGAAGATTTGGAAAATAATTAAAAAAATGAATGGAGTTAAAAGAGAATTTGATTATCCTGTATTAAAAGTTGAGAATGAGGATATAATTAGGGATGAGGATAAAGCTGAGGTATTGGCTAAAGTATTTAGTAAGATACATAGTACAAATAATGTTAGCGAGGAGGGAAGAAAAGGAAGAGAATGTACTGTCCTTAAGTATAAAAATTTAATGGAGAGTGAGGAAGATACAAATAATTTTTTGAACGTGGAGTTTACCAAAGTGGAATTAAATAAAGTGCTTAAAAATACCAAAAACACGGCGCCAGGTAAAGATAAAATTTGGTATAGAATGATAAACCAACTAAGTGAGAAGTCAAAAATGATAATATTGACATTGTTTAATAAAATATGGGAGGAGGGGAAATTGCCAGAGTTATGGAAGGAATCTCTTATTGTACCAATAGCTAAACCAGGAAAAGATCATTCAAAACCAGAAAGTTATAGGCCAATAGCATTAACTTCAAATTTATGCAAGATAATGGAAAAAATGATTAATAGTAGATTAGTGTATTATTTGAATAAAAAGGGATATATCTCTAATTATCAAAGTGGTTTTCGGAAAGGTAGGAGTACTAATGACGCAATGTTATGCTTAGAGCATGAAGTAAGAAGAGCACAAGTAAACAAGGAAAGTGTAGTGGCAGTATTTTTTGATATTGAAAAAGCGTATGATATGATGTGGGTAGAGGGTTTATTAATTAAATTATACAAATTAGGGATACAAGGGAAAATATATGAATGGATTAAAGACTTTTTAACAAACAGAAAATTACAAGTAAGAATAGGGGAGGTAGTTTCAGATAAATATGTAGTGGAAAATGGCACACCGCAGGGGAGTATAATAAGTCCATTATTGTTTTCGATTATGATAAATGACATATTTGTAGATATTGGAAAGGACATGGGCTGTTCACTCTTTGCAGATGATGGAGCTATTTGGAAAAGAGGAAAAAATGTGGAGTTTATAGTTAAAAAAAATGCAACAGGCTATTATTAATATAGAGTTGTGGGCAAGGCAATGGGGATTCAAATTCTCAGTGGACAAAACGAAGGTAATTATATTTTCAAAAAAAACAAAAAAAACAAAGATAATAGATTTAAAATTATATAATCAAAAAAATCGAACAGGTAAAGAGTATAAAATTCTTAGGTTTGTGGTTTGATGAAAAATTAAAGTGGAATATTCACATCCAAAAGATTGTCGATAAATGTAAGAGAAAGTTGAATATATTAAGATGTTTGGTGGGTAATGATTGGGGAGCAGAGAGACAATCGTTACAGCAGATATATATGGGGATAATTAGATCTGACATTGATTATGGATGCTTAGTGTACAGTTCAGCAGCCAAAACTCATTTGGATAAATTAGACAGTATTCAACATCAAGCACTAAGATTATGTACTGGAGCATTCAGAACAACACCAACGGCAGCATTAGAAGTAGAAACGGGGGAAATGCCACTAGATTTAAGGAGGACTAAATTAGGAATTAATTACTGGTTAAATTTGATGGGCAATAAGGAAGGACATCCAACTCAGGAAATTCTAAAACCATGTTGGGAAAAAGAAAAGAAAGAGATGAGAAGTTATGGATGGAAAATTGAAAAGGACTTAAAGGAACTAAAAGTGGACACTTTAGAAATTAGTCAATCAGATCCAATATCAGTTATACCACCCTGGATTCTACCAGAAACTATAGTAGATTTATCAATAATGGCAAAGAAACAGGAAAAATCACATGTAATAGGTTTGCAGTGCAATTGCATTTAAATAGTTATTATGGACATGTTCAAATTTATACAGATGCATCAAAAATTGACGGAAGAATAGGAATAGCATTTACAATCCCAGAATTCAATGTGAATATAGGGAAGCGAGTCACGGATAGGTTATCAATATATACAGGAGAATTGTTAGCAATACTTTTGGCATTACAATGGATAGAGGATGTAAAACCATTGAAAGCAATAATTTGCTCAGATTCAAGTTCAGCTTTGATAAGTATAAAATATAATAACTCAGATAGTAGGATGGATATCTTATTAGAAATATATCATACTCTGTTTAGAATACAAAATATGGGGTTAGTAGTGATATTTGTGTGGGTTCCAGCACATATAGGGTTAGTAGGAAATGAGAAGGCTGATAAAACGGCAAAGAAGGCAACACATAATCCTATTAGTTTCACAGTTAGGATGAGTAACTCTGAAGGGAAAAGTAAAGTCAAAGAAGAACTGAAGAAAATATGGCAGAGAAGGTGGGACGAAGGATTAACAGGAAGGTGGTTTTATAAAATTCAGAAGGCTGTGGGAAGGAAAAGAAGAGGAAGAAGAAGTAGGAAGGAGGAAAGAATAATAACAAGGTTAAGGTTCGGTCATACAGGGCTTAATTATTCGCTTTTTAAAATACAGAAGCATAAAAATGGAAAATGTGAGTATTGTGAGAAGTTTGAAACAATAGAACATGTTATTTTAGAGTGTTGTAAATATGAAGAAGAGAGAAGATGCATGTTGAAAGAGTGCGAAGGTAGTAAAGAAAAGTTTAATTTAATAGAATTTGTGAGGAGAGATCTGGGAAGTAGACATATTCAAATAGTTATTCGGTATCTTAAAAAAACAAAGTTATTCCATAGAATCTGAGTAGAGAAAGATATATAACTATATGCAAGTTAGGTTATATAAGTAAGTGTGTATGTTTAATCAGGAATTAATTGAGGGATTAGGTAGAAAATGAAAGTATATAGACCATTTCGAACCACACTCCATACCGGTAAGTGGCGGTAATGCTACTTAAAGTTTTTTGCCAACCGCCAATAAAAACCAAGAAGAAGAAGAAAGTAAACTCTGGAGTTGGTCCTGTTCTGGGCTGGTTCCGATCTTCTGATTGGGTAGTGTTGTAGTGGCGGGCTGCCAGTAGAAGTAGACTGATGTTAAGGTCCACTGGAACGGAGTCCCACAGGCTTGCAATTAAAAGATAAAGGTTAGTAGATGCAGGGGGAAAAAAGACTAATTGGGGAAATGAATCTGTGGGAATCAGATTCAGGGGTAAGGATAAGTCCGTGATACAAAATGAGCTTGACCTTTAATCCGTGATCCATAAAACAGTCAGAAGGGAAAGGCAGAGTTCATACCGTGAAGTCAGTTG